TTTTTTTTTTTTTGTAGAGGTTTTTACTATAGGGTGTGTGCACTCGCTAGACAGACATAGATAGACAGAAAGCAAGAAATCACCCCCCCCCAGGGGGGGATGGCCACGCTGCAATCCCTTCTCTTCCATTCTCCTCTCAGGATCTTGGGCACGCATGCAAATGCGCCTGGCTTGAGTTTAAGCCACTGGGTCCGGGACTCAAACTGCAGTCGACTACATGAGAGTCCAGTGACATAGCCATTACGCTAACTGCTGGTCCCCCAAATTCTCTTAAAGTAATCCTGTTTTAACAGATTGCTGGTTTGACAGCAGAGACTTCACTCTGAAATTTTCTTAATTATTTTGTTTATTATTAATATTATTTTTTAAAGTTTTGCTCTAGGGCATGTATGCTTACCAGAGAGAGAAAGAGAGAGAGAGAGAGAGAAGAGAAAGTGAGAAAGCGAGAAAGCAAGTTACCAGGCCCAGGACTCAAATTGTAGTGTGCCATGTGGAGTGGAGTTGAGTGCAACCCTTTAACTACCATACCACCACCTGCTGGTGCCACTCTGATTTTTATTGACTCTTTTCTGATTCATTAACCAAATGAAAAAAGTACATCATGGGCACATTTATCATTTAAGTTGAGTGGAATTATTTTCCAGTAAATATTCAGGATGAATTGCTAGTTTGCTCTTTCTAGAAATTCTTTTCCATGTATTGACCTTTGTTTTGATCCATTCTGTAATGATGAATGAGCCAGCCCTATCACATAGTGGTTAAGGGAGCTGGATCCAACATGGCTGTCTGCAGTTCACATCCTGACCCCAGCTACTTGAAAAACACCAAATGCATGTGCTTGCTTGCCTAAAATCAAAGGGGCGGAAAAATGGACAAGGAACTATATGTGACCATACTTCCTGAGGGGTTCTCCCCTCTCCCTCCCCTCTTGCACTCTCTCTCTCTCTGGTGGGTGCACGTGCCCTATAGCAAAGTTTAAAATAATAATTATGGGCCAGCAGGTAGCATAGTGGTTAAGGTGCTGGACTCGCACATGCCTGGCTGTGGTTCGAGTCCCAAACTTGGTGGTTTGATTTCTCACCTTCCTTCTCTCTCTTTCTCTGCTCCTCTCTGATGACTATACCAAGTTAAAAAATAATAGTGGGAGTCCCATGCATTTCTGGACCCAGCAGCTTAAAACTCATGCCAGGCATGCCCCAGATCCTGAGAGACAAATGGAGCAGAAGGGATTGCAGCATGGCCAGCACCCCACCCCCCTGGAGGGGGGTGATTTCTTGCTTTCTGTCTCTCTCTGTCTCTCCGGTGAGCACATGCACTCTATAGCAAAAATCTCTCTAAAAAAAAAAAGTTGGCAGGACCAGCAGGTGTCATACCAGCAGGTTAAGACCCTGGACTCCCACATGGCCAGCCAGCTTGAGTCCCAGACCTGCTAACTTGAAAATCACGGGACCAGCAGTTGGCATAATGGCTATGTCGCTGGACTCCCATGTAGTCGACCATGGTTTGAGTCCTGGACCTGGTGGCTTAAACTCAAGCTGGATGTGTGTGCGTGCGTGCCTAGGATCCCAAGAGGAGAAAGGAGGAGAAGGGATTGCAGCATGACCATCCCGCCTGGTGGGTGATTTCTTGCTTTCTGTCTCTCTCTCTCTGTCTTTCTGGTGAGCACACATGCCCTAGAGCAAAAAATCTCTCCAAAAAAAAAAAAAGAAAAAAAAAGAAAGAAAATCACACCAGATACATGTGCATGTGTACTCAAAATCCTGAACGAGAATGGAGGAGGAAGGCTTGTGGTGAGTGCACACACTCTTTAGCAAAAATCTCTAAAAACCAAAACAAAACCTATAAAACTGGCACTTATTCCCTACTCTCATTGTTTCATATTAGTTACTGTTCTAGTATTAAGTCAGAAAAGGGATACTATTTAATCAAAAAGATTACTATAAATACATTATAAATGATAAATTACATTACAGATGTTACTAATATCGGGAAAGATTTTGAGCTTCTTAAGGAAACAAAAGAATACAATCATCTAGAACATTTCATATACTCTTCATGAGCAGTCCTGAAGAATGTGTGATGAAGGGCCAGCATTTCAGGTGATTTTAGCAAGATTCAACTAGGGGTTCAGTTCCATTAGAGTGGGGGCGAGGAAGCTGCACAAAAGGCACACGACCAGCTGGCGACTCTTCGGTTACTTAGACCATGTTTTTGAAACAGCACAAGCACCACATCAGAATTGCATCTCAATACCTCATGGACAGTTGGTTTGGGTCCTCAGAGTCCTTGGTCCCCAGGGAGGCTGGTCAATGACCTGTTGCCCCACAGGGAGAATAATAAATAGTTTTAGAAGTACCAGTGAGGAAGAGAGGCACTAAGGGTAAGGGTGCTCTTTAAAGTGTAACTTTTATACAGTTAAGTTTCCTATATTATGCAACTAGAGCCAATGTCCACAGCATGTTGTCTAAAATAACTATGGATTTTTTTTTCCAGGTTGAGTTAAAGGAACCAGATGGTACTGTTACAAGTAATAATCCAGAAGAAGCAACTTTTCAGAACCCTCTTGTTCAGGAATCCTGTTGCAAATTCCCACCTTCCCAAGAGCCAGAGGACACCTCCAGCTGTTCTCAAAAGAAAGACTCGAGCCCAATGGTAATTATGCCCAAGAAAATGTGTATGAGTAGCATTTTATTAAATGTTGGGTCCCTGTCATTACAAAGTCCATAGATTATTTCAGTACCTAAATCAAGAGATTATTCTAGTCATTTTCTTAATCATCCTATTTCCTTGTGGAATCAGTCATTTTGATCATCTCCTGTAGCAAAAGATTATCAGCTAGAGCCGTTTACTTTTCACCTCTGAGAGTCTCATTTCTATCCAGTCTTCGCAAATAAAACAACGATTAGGACAGTGCTCTAACTGCCGAGGAGAATAACATCAAGTCACAGGAGTCAATGCAGAGCTGGGTTGTGAGCCCTAAAGTGGTGACACAGAGAGCTGAGCCACGTGGTTTGGCCTGTCATTGGAGAGTAGGGCTGCGTTCTGTGACTTCAGAGCAGAGGCTGCAGCCGCTTCCTTCCTTTGTGCCTCCAAATGTCTAAGTATGACAGCTACCACTGTATAGGATCTATAATAAGTCACATCTGTGGCTTATGTAATAATTTTCTTCGTTAATTCATTTCATCCTAACAATTCAGTGGAACATTATTTTTATACCCATTTTATGGAAAAGAAAACAGATGTTAATATTTATTGTCTGCATTAGTCTTCACAGTTTAAAATAAGTTAATAAATAAATAAATGCATCTGAATCTAGATCTCCTTGTGGTGAGGGTTGGGGGTGGGAGAGCCAGAGAAGTGCACCTCTAGCATTCCTTAGCAAAGCACTTAGAGTCCAAAGAGCAAATAATTGTCTTCCCCTGGCAGTTCTTTGTTCCTAGAAATGAGACTGTAGCTCTAAGACGTAGACTTTGACAACGAAATACTTGAAAATGAACTCATGCGAACTTCGGCTTAGCTATGGTATACACTAGTACTTGCCTCCGATCGGGGCCATGGACTGGGAGGGCAGAGTTTTCCCAAGACCCCTGGAACCAGGTCAGCAGGATGAGAACTCTCGGACTCCCGCAGACTACAGAGTGATGTTGGCACACTCCTCACAGGGCAGGGCAGAGGCTCCTGTATGGGTGGAGTCCAGGCATGGGCAACAGAGAGAGGTCTGGAGAATCCACTCTGACCCTTCTGCCCAGTTTTATGCATGCACATGGCATGTGTGCATGTGTGTGAGTGTGTGTATGTGGCTATAAATTTATCCTCAAATTATGAACGAAATTCCAGTGAGCATGAATGCTGGGCTCTCCTCACCTGTCAGGGTAATCCGAAGTGTTGACCCAGTGATCAGCACCTTGCCACCATAGTAGTCTCTGTGTGTGAGATTTTGTAACATTGGTCCTCTATGCTTACTTGGGTTTTACTGTCTAGATTATAAAAAAGATATGGAAGGAAACCACAGCTTCTCTGTGTACTGTAGTTTTGCCACTGGAATTGTAAGCTCCATGTGGGCAGAAACCACAACTGCTCTTATCTCTGTATCCATGCCACACGGCCTGGAACAGGGCTGAGCATACAGTAAGCTGCATTGATGTTTTGGCTTGACTAATAGGATTGACCAACTGACTCACTCGGTTTGCTGAGAATTCACTACGGCCAGAATCCGACAGAGCTAGTCAGATCCAGAAAGATTTTTAGGCTTTCCAGTGTTTGGATTAAACTTTCCTGGGTTAAGCTTTCTAAGTTGTTATTTTATGAAATAAAATAAGTGGACATTAAAATTTTTAAAGTGTATTAAATAGTGACATATGGCAAAAAAAAGAACTATAGTAAAATTAAACATTATTCTAAATATGTGCCCAGCTACAGAGAGGTCGTCAGGGAGACACAATCTTTGTTGGAGCTAATGGCAACCAAAGGGACCGGGGATCTGGCTGAGATGCCCACTCTCCTACTAATAATGTGTGGCTGGGGTGAGGACGGGGTACAGGATGTTCTGGTGCATGGTCACCTGATCCAAAACTAAATCTCGGTGGTCATTCATCCATGGAGAAAGACACAAGCACCTTCTTCATCTTTATTAGCACACCGATCGCATCTCAGGAGACATTCCTGGGAGGTGTCTTTGCCCTGTGGTACCTCCAGAGAGCATATTATTATAGAGTAAGAAATTGAGAACAGATCTACAGTATTTGAGCTTTCATTAAAACTTAAATTCTGGATTAAAGCCACTTTCTCAGATTTAAGTTTATTTTAGGTTCATTTTATTACAGTTATCTTTTAAAAATGAAATCTGATCATTATTTTTCATTTTAGGTGATATGTCAGTTGAAAGGGGGTACACAAATGCTGTGTATAGACAATTCTGGCACAAGAGAACTAAAAGCACTTCATTTGGTTCCTCAGTATCAAGACCAAAATAATTATCTACAGTCAGGTACATAGTAAACTAATGAAAAAATTATATCATGTATCATAGTTAAGTTGGTAAATGAATGTATTTGGCTTTGTATATAGAGTAAAGGTGAAATAGGTAGTTAGATTATTAAATAGGCAATTTGATAAACCCCTAGCCCATATTAGTGAGCTAAGAATAGAGCAAAACATATCCTCATAGACTAATTTATATGCATCATATTGATTGCTCCCAATTTTTTTTTTTGAGAGGTTTTCACTATAGGGCGCGTGCACTCGCCAGACAGACAGAGAGAGACAGAGAGACAGAAAGCAAGAAATCACCCCCATGTTGTAACCCCTTCTCCTCCATTCTCGGATCTTGGGCGCACACACACATACACCTGATGTGAGTGATCCGAGACTCAAACAGCGGTCGACTCTGTGGGAGCCCAGCAATGTAACCACTACACCATCTGCTGGTCCCTATCCAAATGTAGTTTCAAGCCTTTGGAGTCCAGGGCAAAAAGTAAAAGTGTGACTCCTTATCTCCTCATTCTATCTAATAGTCCCTCAATCCAGGAACAGAAAAAAAATCTTCCAAGATATTTTCCCATGCTGAAGAATCTGGGATTGGAGATTTGGCCTGGAAAAGCTACCCTCCAGCCAGATTTTCCTAGAGGTCATGCTGTGTCCGTGATCCTCTGTGCAGGCAGGGAGACAGTTTTTCTACTTCCCTTCCTCCTGGCGCACGACAGAATCCTACTGCCTTAAGGCCCACAGAGAAGAGAGCTTAGTGTTTTCCAATTCAGTTTACTTGTCATATAATCTTAGTCTCCCCTCCCCAGTCTCCTTTGTCATGCTGTGTACATATTTAATATTGCCATAAAGTAAATGCATCCTGTTACTTAAGTCTACTTCTCCTCAAAGAATTCTTAGGCCTAGAGAAGGAATGCATTCAACCTAGGGGAGTAAGATATTTCTCTTTCTACTTAGATTCAAGAGCACAGAGGCTCATGGTGCCCTTAATGTCTCAGGAATGTTTCTCAGTAGTCCTCTTAGACCAAAGAAGTACCTTTCAGTTTCAGTATTTAGTAGTCAGGTCCAAATAACTTAACAAATATTTATATCCTAACAATTTATTGGGTTGTCGGAAAAGTCATGACACATGTAAAAATGTGTCACGACTTTTCCGACAACCCAGTAGTAACCATTTGAGAGAAAAGAATACTATACATAAATCAGAAGTAGTTCAGGTGGTGTCTAGCAGGGGTCACTGGGCTTTTCTTGGAAAATGTATACTGTTCCCTGGTGCCCAGGTGAATCAGCCTTGGCAGCTGGGCTCCTTGTTTGAGAACCAGGGCACTAACATTTTTTAAGCATAATAGACTATACGGGGGAGCTTAGGTCAAGTAACTTGATGAGTAATAAAAAAAATGAGTATAATTAGTAAAAAAAAAAAAAAGATAATAATAAAAAATACATTGATCAAAAAGGTTATATAGGATAAAAAAATAAACAGGATCAAGATAAGTTTAACTTTTCACATGATAACTCCATAATACATTTTTGTACTTTCTTCCATGTGCAAGTGGAAGAGGAACGATATATGCTATCAATTAATTTTAATTGTCTTCCTTACAGATGTCCCTAAACCAATGACTACTTTAGTAGGAAGATTTTTGCCAGTACCAGCAAAATTAAATCTCATTACCCAACAAGTGAGTCATTGTTTTAATAAAAAAATACAATTGATCATTATTTTCTCTTGAAATTTCGATTGTGGAAGCTGAAATTACTCAGGAAATATAATTTGTCCTCCATTTTAAAATCAACAATGAGACATTTACCAAGTACTCAGGCCCTCACCACCAATGCAGGTTGCTGTGGAAAGATGGAGGCAGTCTCAGACCAGATTCTTTGCCAAGTCTGGATGCGGCTTTGCCTCTCCTACAGCCTCCAGGCAATGCTCTGCGCCATTTGCCAAGCCTACCCTTTGTGGACCTTCCAACAGCACGTACTACCTACTTGGTCCAGAACGTCCCTCGCCTTCCTCAGTGTTAGGAGGACATGCTTTTTTAGACTTTGTTTTTATGATTACATCATAACACGTGTATGTTATGTATACTAAAAGACAAATATTTTTTCTCAGGTCTTGCTACAAAGTGTCCCATTTCATCCAAAGTCTCCCCATACAAGCCTTCCCTAACTGCTCAGTGTAGATGGTCATTGTCATAGCACCATCACTATCTTATGCTTTTTGGTTTATTGATTTATCTGCATCCACCCATGGGAATGCAAGCGCCATAAGAATTGGGCTCATGTGTACCTTGTTCACTGTATCTTGAGGACCAGCTCAAAGCCTGGCACATATAGGGCACTTGCTCATAGTTCTACAAGGTGAGTGCCGGTCTAGCACTTGGGTTACATCAGCGAGCTAAATTAACCCCCAAACCAAAATAAAATGTAGAATTGTACCTTACTGTGGCACACATTTTAGTGTGAGAAGCAGACACTAAGCAAATCTAATAAGTAAGTAAATTATATTGTATGTTAGGAGAGCAGAGGAAGGGTATTGGGGGAGTGGGGGAATAAGGGGAAAGAAGGCAGTTTACAGGTTTAAACAGAGTGGTCACAGCTTCATTGAGAAGGTGACATCTGAGCAAAGTCTTTAAAGAAATGAGGGAGTGAACCCTGTGATTATCATGTAGAAGAGCATTCCTGGCAGGAGCATTAGCGCAAGTCGCAGGCAGGGTCTTACTTGCCATGTTGACAGTGAGGAGGCCAATGGGACGAGGATGGACTGAGCAAGGAAAGTTAAAGATGATTAAAGGATTGTGGCTTTTGCTCTGCTTGAAAAGGGGCTGGTGGATGGGCCAGCAGTTGGCATGGTACTTAAGGTGCTGGACTCCCACATGGCCAACCACGGTTCAGGTCCTGCACCTGGTGGCTTGAAAATCATGCCAGGCATGTGTATGTGCATGCCTAAAATCCCAAGAGGAGGGTGGAGGAGAAGGGGTTGTAGTGTGGCTGTCCCCCACTGGGAAGTGAGTTTTCACTTTCCCTCTCACTGTCTCTCTTATGAGTGAGTGTATGTGCCCTATGGGAGGGGGGGAAGAACTAAAATAAAAACTAAAGAAAGAAAAAAAAAGTTGAGTAGTGGGAAGGAGGAGGAGTCAGGATTACAGCAGGTAAATCTGCTATTGCAGTTAGATGAGGGGTGATGGTGGCTCAGACCAGGTGTTAATAGCTTCAGATTCTTTGAAGGTAGCCAACAGAATTTGATGATGTGGGATATGAAAGAGAGGAGTCAAGGGTGTCCCCAAGATTTTTGGCCCAAACAAATAGAAAGATGTAGTCTCCACCAACAGAGATGAGATGGTCTAAGTTTTATGAGGGAGTCTAGGAGACTGGTATATTAAATTTGAGATTTCTCAGACATCCAAGTGAAGGCATGTGGGAGTTCAGAATGAGAAAAATCTGGGTTGGAAAGGTCACCCGCAGGTTGGTGGTATTTAAAGGCACATGAATAGATAAACTCGCTAAGCGAGTGAAGGTAGATAGGGGTAACTATTCATTGAATGAGTAAATATTTTTCAGCAACATATCAGCCTGTAGAATAGAGTATTTACGCAGTGCACGAGCTCAGCAAGTACAAGCTGTTGTCTGGTGAGTACTGGTATTGAGTGGCTCTCAGTTGGTACGACTTACAAACTCCGGCCCACTGGCCCCTCCCATGGCACTGGCCTTTTATCTTTCCTGTCCCAGTAAGCAACCAGGAGGCACACATTGCACTTGTTTGCCTTGCAGTAGAAATGCACCTATTGGGCCACAACCTGCTTTCTTCCACCTTCTTTCCATTTTTCCTCGACTATGTTTGTTATCCCCATTTTGGCTCCCCTTGACCTGGGCCTCAGTGTGATTCTTTTATTATTATTATTATTATTATTATTATTATTATTATTATTTTATTATTATTTTTTAATTTGCCATAGAACACATGCACTCACCAGAGAAAGACAGAGAGAGAGAGAGAAAGAGAGAAAGAGAGAGAGAGAGAGAGAGAGAGAGAGAGAGAGAAAGAAATATTTAATTATTTATTTTTAATTTGACCAGAGAGGGGTAGAATGAGAGAGAGAAAGAGAGAAAGAGGGAGAGAAAGCAAGATGCCAGGCCCGGGACTCAAATCACAGTTGGCCATGTAGGAGTCCAGTGCCCTCAACCACCGTGCCACCTGCTGTCCCCTTATTGTTTATTTTTTTTTGAAGAATTATGTTATCTAACTTTATTTATTCATTCGTTCCTTTTTTTTCTTTTTTTTTTGAGTTTTTTTGCTATAGGGCATGTGCGCTCACCAGATGGACAGAGG